CTGTGGAACTCTGTATTCTCACTTGTGAATATAGGTGAGACATAACACATAAATATGTGTGTGTGTGCATGCATGTGCATGTGTGCAATGAGTATCATCTCTTTTACAAAAGTTAAATTACTGTTCTTTCAAATTCAATTGCCAAATTAATTCACAGACAGGGGAATAACTAATTGACATCCACTATAGATAATTTCTTCATCCTATCCATGTAAGAAAGATGTACAATTTTCTTTCATATGTATATGCAAATGTGTGCGTGCACACACACACACCAACACACACACACACACACACACACACACACACACACACACAAATTTACATTGGCTTTAAGAGCATTAATAGCCTTTCTAATTTCCTATTGAAATACATTTACAAGTCTTCACTCAAAATGTCTCCTGAACAATTGTTTATATCTGATGCCTTAGTGTTACAAGTTCTGATAAGGATCTATGAACTTTCATACCAGCATTTGATATTAAAGAACAGCAGAGCCTTACTTCTATTAAGAGATAACACTTTGTAATATATTATCATAATTAAATAATAATAATAATGCCACAGTTATAGAAAAAATCTTGCTCTTTACCAAAGCCTATATGCAATCTGGGGATTCTTCTGGACTCATGGTTATGTAAAATTTTGGGATTTAAGTTCAAGAAGTTTTTTTTTCTCCTTTGAATCTATGTCACTTCCTCTAATGCCCCAAAAATAGCCTTTTCAGAAACAATGGTCAGGGCAACCAAACAATAGGACTTGCATTCTGAAGTGCCTGAAAGAAACAAACCTGGGTGGGATAGGAGGAGATGCAACAGATTTTACAAAAGACAAAAGGGTTTCTGGGACCATTAGCTATCTCAAGAAACAGAAATTATAGGCATTATATCTAAGGATGTCTGTCTTTTCTAATATCTAACAAAAGCAAAGCTTTAATTGCATATTAATGACTTGTTGCTTTTTGATATACCTATCATATACCGAATGCATGTAATCAATTTGTTATGTGCCCTATATAAAAGTTGATTGCTCCCCTTTAACAAACTGGCTCTCCCCAATTATATCTAACCCATCCCATCCCATTTGGCAGTAGAGGTGTATTGCAAGACCTATCAGCTAGGAGTGTCATCTGGCTGAATAGACTGAGCTGACCACAACCCTGCTGGCTTTTTGTAAAGCCCTGAAAACATAGTTTTGCCATGGAAACACAAAAGCAGACGAGTAAAGCCAATGTAATTGTGTGGATGTATGGGACTATGATGGGTTCTTTTGTTTTTATATTAGATTGTTATTGAATTTTGTGTGTGTGTATAAATTTAAATAATAAAATAATAAATAACCACAGTATCAGTTGCTGAGGCCATCAACTTTCTTATTAAAATAAACTTTTTAAAAGTTTCATAAGAATTGGCATCTCTCTCCAAGTGCAGCCTAAGACTGAATATGCTCCTTGGAAAAAATTGAAATATGTTACTGTATTTAGTGCTTGAAAATAAAATGCCTGAACACCTGTTAAATGTGTCCACAGGCAATGCGTATTATTATTGATTGCACATTTAGTTAGCAATTTATTGCCTAGAATAGTAATCCAAGGCAATTAACTCTGACTTTCTAACTGCAGAAGAGGACAAGAGAAGTTATGCATTAATTAATAAAAAACAGCATACTTTGGAACTTTTAAGTTATTAAAAAGAGAATTTACCACAAGAGAATTTATTCTGAAGATAAAACAACAACAATGAAAACATTTTGTCCTTTAGGTCTAATTTTCCATCTGGTCGCACAATTTTTTAAAATGGGGTAAAATGACAAAGGAGGTTTTCTATTATTTTTCTGCAGAAATATTTTAATTTTTTTTAGTAAGTCACTTCTCTACAACTCCAGAACATAAACATTCACAGCTTATTACACCTTTACATATCTATTCATTTTTGTGTACATTCTGTTCTTATTTATATGTATGTGATTCAGCTGACCTGAAAAATCTATCTCTATTCCAAGTACAAATACTGATCTGATAACAGCACTTGCACATAAAAATATCAGTATTTCCTGGATATTTTATTAGGTAAGATATTATAAACTGAGTCCATGAGTCCCTATAGAAGATGCAGGACAGAAGGACATGAGCTAGAGTTTAAATGGTCCCTTGTACACAGGGGCATAATCTCAGTTCATATGGTATTTTTCTGTATCGGCCCTCCAAAACTGCTGTAGGAAGTCCATTGCAGCGTGTTAAAGTTAATGTCCTTCAGATATTTGGAACGCTTATTTGATATAAATATCTCGCTGTTTTAATGTTTCTCTGAGTGTGACGAAATTCTGCTGTGCAGTATATAAAATTAGGCAAACTTTAACTGCTCACTCTTAACCCATCACCAATAGCAATATATTATTCTGTCTTTTATTATTTTTTACTACTACTACTACTACTACTACTACTTGTTTTATTTTTAAAATTCTTTTTAAGTATTTATTTATTTTTAATATTTTTTATCAAATACAAGATACAAAGGAAAATAAAAAGTAATGTGGCCAGCAAGCAGAACTTATGCTTGATTTGATTTGAGTCTAGAACACCGTCTACCAATGAAAGAACAGCAAAGGAATCAATTTAACACATGTCATGAACAACACAAGAAAAGGAAAAAAAAATATTCTCCTCTGGCAACTGATTTGAGGTTTCATCCTAATGCATATCCACAATAGTTAATTTTTTTTTCTTTTTGTTTCAGTTCAACAGAGGAAGAAACATAGTTTTTGCATTTGGCAACCTGAAAACTTAAGAGCATGGTCACCCTATTCATAAAGCACATGTGTTACTGCAAACCTTTGTATTTGGATACTTGCCGGAAAAGGACAATTGCACAACCAGAAAACTCAAATAGCAATATTCTAAATGTTGTAAGCACTATTTAATTGACTTCGCATCACCTTTTTTCTAATACTGAAAGCCAGAATAGAAATATCCTGTGCAGTTTTATAAGCACTTGTGAACAATTGCCTGTATTTAATAGTACTAGACCTTTCTGCATGCTACATATTCTGCCAAAATTCTAGGATGTAAACTCTAACCAGTGTTACTGTGCTCTAATTATTTAACCTAAGCCCAAAATATACACAACAACAACAACAGCAAAAAAGACTTGCTCTTTAAAAAAAAAAACTTGCTCTCCTTTAAAACGCCATGGCTCTCAGAATATGTTATAATTAGATAGCAGCAAACTAGAAGACACAATAGTGCATATCATACAAACGCATAAATCATTTATACATTCAATTGAAAACAATTCTAAAAACAAATGATATATGTTGCTTTCCTAAACATCCGTACAGAAGGCCAGGTCTAATGTGGACCCCCCTCCCAAAAGATTCTTTTGTACATGTGCAATATTGTTATAGCGCTCCTAAATACAAATGTATTGAAGGTCTTGGCCCAATTAGGCTTTTAAAAGTTAAGGTCAACATCTTGAATATAAGAGTTAAGAAAGCCAATGTCTACCCTCCAATTTTTTTCAAAAATAATATTAATGCGAGAAGATATTATACCTGTACTCATCCTGGGTAAACCGTGGAATTACTGAGGGTTGCAACACGGAAATTTCTACAGTGGTTGTATTAAACTTCACCGGATCCCCATCATCATAGGCAATGACCACAAGCTGTAAAGCACACAAACACAATGACTGAACATATGTTTCTCAATTCAATAATTTTGGAGATTGGGGATTTATTTTATTAATTATATCAAAAAAGTAACAAATGTAAATAAAAATAATAAAATATGCACCATACATTCCAAAAGCCAATGCATTAAAAAAAACAACCTCTGATCTTTTTTTGTTCTACTCTGAAATTCTAACTGTAAAGCTCAGTTCTATAAATATTTTCAACCAGCACATTTTAAGAGTGCATTTTCTTAGGGATAAATAAAGAGAAACAAAATCACTGTTAGAGATGTTCAGGTGTCTCTTGAAAAGTTTCCTTACTCCCATTGAATTCTTTTTGTATGTGGGTTGAGATATTTCATTTCAGCATAATTTGAAGACCTGAAAGATCAGGTTAGGCATGGATAAAATCTATCTAAGAGGTTGCTATGAATTAGAAACAACTTGATGACATATAATCAACCTCAACATAAACCTCATTAAAAAAATTTGCTGCATGTATAATAGCAATAGCGCTTAGGCTTATATACCACTTCATAGTGTGTTACAGAGTTCTCTAAAAAGTTTACAGAGTCAATATATTACTCCCAACAATCTAAGTCCTCATTTTACTGACGTCAGAAGGATGAAAGGCTGAGTCAACCTTGAGCTGGTCAGGATCAAAGGACTCAAACTGCAGCCAGTGAGAGTCAGGAGGCAATATTGCACTCCATCCACTATGCCACCACGGTTCTTAATAATACCAGAGGGCTTAGACCATACTGTTTGGTTTTTACATACAGTATAAACATTTTGGTGAAGATTAATTCTCTGATTAAAAAGCTCATGACTAGGCACATTTCTAAGGCTAATTTCAAATTTCTGGCAGAAGTATCCCTTGAAATGAATCTCAGTTGCACTAGAGTTCTAACAAAAAAGTACAGAAGGGAAAGGGAGTAGAGATAACATATTTAAGTAGAGATAGCATATTTATGTAATCAATATGCTATCTCTACTTAACAACATAATTTTTGGGCTCAATTTTGGTCATAAATTGAGGACTAAATGTACTTGGTGACAGAAAATCCACTCACAATTAGG